TTCACTCGACGCAGGGATACCTCCTCCCCGCCTTCCTCCCCCGGCCTCGGACCCTGTCGGCCGTCCCGGCGAACGGACCACGCCCGAGATGGCGGACACGTGGCACTGGGGAGGCAGGGGCTAGCGGTGATGCAGGGACGGCGGCTGTCGGATTCAAGCTCAAGCGTTTCGGTGCTGGGAGTGGTGGAGGAGCAAGGGGGGGACGCGGGCGAGGGGTCGCGACAAGGATCGGTAGACGCTTTCGAGGCGATGAGCAACAGCAGCCAGATCAGCGACTCCGGTAGCTACAGCGGCTCCGCGCCCACCGCCGCGCGGAACGGTCATGTCTACTCCACGGACGCCGCGAGGCAGAGCCGTTTGGATCTTGAGCCGCGCCACGCCGGGCAAGCAGCTAGACTAGCCACCCCTGCTGATGTGGACAGGTATCACGAGAGCGGTCGGCAGTTGGGGCAAATGTTACGGGGGGCCGCGGGGCCGGCGCGCATTGTCAGCCCCGCGGAACGCGCCGTAGCTGCGGAACTTGCGACATTGGCGGATTCCGTCACGGACGCAGACGTGTATGCGCCGTCCCCCGCCGCAGCCGCGCTTATGTCCGCAACGGACGGGCTCTTCTCCGCCGCGTCCGCTTACGCCTCCGCCTCTGTTCCCCCGCCCCCTGGCGCGCCTTCACCAACACCCCTCTACAGTCTCTCCGCGCATCAGCCTGTCTCATCCTCCCCGTGGCCCCCGACGGTTGTTGCGCTTGCGCGTCCACCTGAGGCGGGGCTGGGCGGACTTGATGTAAGGGCGCGGTTGGGGCGCACCCTGGGGTACGGGAGCGCGGGCGGAGGGGGGGAGGCCGGGGGGAGGTGGGCTACAATGGAGTCGAGCATTGAGGGGCAGGGGCGGGAGAGGCAGCATCAGCAGCAGCAGCAGCCAACGAAGGACGCCAAGGAGCTGGCACGGTCGCTGCTGCTGCAGCTGTCGGGCGGCAGAAAGGCGCCGCTGGGGGGAGGCGCGCCGCAGGTCATTGCGGTGCGCGATCGGAGTGGAGGGGAGGCGGCGCAACGGGACTCCGGAGCCTCGGGAATGCCGGCTGCAGTCCGCGGGGATGGCATGAGCGGGCAGCGGCAAGGGGTGGAGGGGGCGACGAGTGCATTCCCGGGTCGAGGGGCCGTGACCGGCAGGGAGGAGGAGCAGGGAGAAGTTGACTCGATTATGACTCAGCGAGGTGCTTATAACGAGAAGCAACGCGGTGACACTGAGAGGACGGGCGGTGGCGTGATGGGCGGTGCGAGTTTCGACGATGACGTGATGGTGATGGCGGGCGAGGACGAACAGCACGAGGAGAAGGCTGCGTGGAGGCAGCCGTGGTCGCAGCGACGACTGCAGCAGGATGACGTGCCGCCGTCGCCGCCGCCGCTGCAGCAACAGCAACAGGAGCAGCAGCAGCAGGAGGAGGAAGAAAGGATGGATCATGAGTTGCAGGAGCATTTGCAGAAGCAAATATCATTGCAGCAGCAGATCGACTTGCAGCAGCAGGAGGAGGAGCGATCAGAGGAGGCGGAAGCAGAGAGTACGGAGGAGGAACGGGAGGAGCGGCTTGAGCGTATGCGAGCAGAGGAGCAGGCGGTGCAGCAGAGGCAGCAGAAGCTGCCATCGCAGCCGAGTCTATTCCAGCAGCAGCAGGGGCAGCAGCAGGGGGCGGCGGGGGGCAGCCCCGTGTCGACTCTGGATGTGGCGCTGAGCAAGGGGTCCCCCTCAACCGATGCAGGTGAGGAGGAGGGCGGGCTCGCCTTGCACGCGCGCATGCACGCACTCGCCGACGCCCACGCCCACTGGCTCGCCGCGGATGCCAGCCAAATAGAGGACCTGCAAGCTGAAGAGGACATGGCGAAGCATGGCGGTGCAGAGGCAGAGGCAGAAGCCTGTGGGGAAGCAGAGCGCGTGTGGGGCGATGAGCCTTGCGTGCCCGCCCAACAGGCGCTGCCCCTCTTGCACACACAAGGTGCCTGCCTTGCTGCCTCTTTCTGTGCCGTGGGGCTGTCACTGCACCCCTCCTGCCATGTTGTGCCATGTGTCTCTCTTATATGTCAGCTGGTGCCATGTGTCGCTGCATTGTGCATGGATGGATGGACCTCCTAGCATCATGCTTCCTGTCATCACATGGAGTGACCCTTTCCATTCACTATCCTCCTGCTGTGCCCTGAATTTGCTCCTCATAACATCTTGTTCCTCTCTCTCCTCTCCTCCCAATCTCCACTCGCTGTGCAGGAGACAAGGCACCCGACTCGTCCCTGCTCGCACCAGCAAACCCTCCTCCTGCCCCTCCTCTCACCACCGCTGTCACCCCCGCAGCAGGACCTCTCCAGCCGCCCCTCTCAGCGCCCCCGCCTGCTCTCCCCCTGCCACCACTGGAGTCGCTAAGCACAGTGGACCTGGGCACACTCGCCTTTGTGCCGTCACCAGCGGGCATGGAGGAGGACCTCGAGTACATCCGCTATGTGCTCGTTGCTGCTGGCTTCGCCAACCGCTCTCTCCCCCCTGCGGCGTCTCCAGCTGCGCCCATCAGTGCGGCGGTGTTTGAAGTGCTGGAGGCGGAGTTCCTGTCGCTGGATGGCATCATTGTTGACCCCGCCAACCCCCTGGGGCCTGTCACGGGGCAAGCAGCATCAGGAGGCAAGGCAGGAGGTCCAAACGCATCATCGCCAGAAGCAACAGCAGATGGGTTGTCGGAGAGTGAGAGCCTGCCATCAGATGCAGCGCCGGCCTTCTCCTCACCAGCCCTCCCTGCCAATTACCCTGATGAGCGGCGGCAGCGCCGCCTCCTCTTTGACGCTGTGAACGAAGCTCTCGGCCGCCGCCTCGTGCCTTTCCTCCTGCCCTCCCAACCGTGGCAGCACCTGCATGCCGCCTGGTCTGCACCCCTACGGAAACGGCCAGCTGGGCGGCGGCTGCTGCAGGAGGTGTGGGCAGAGATCCACTCGTGGGCTGTGCCCATGTCTGATGACGTGTTTGACACCCTGGATGACCTGGCACGAAGGGACTTGTGGAAGGGAGTGGACACGTGGATTAACATGGATAAGGCTGTGGATGATGAGGTGCCAGATGTTGTGTTTCAACTGGAGGAGGTGCTGATGGGCGAGTTGATTGGGGAGATGTGTGCGGATTGGATGGAGATAGGGAGGAGAAAGCAGAGAGGGAGAGATGGAATGCTTGAGTTGATGGATGGAGGAAAGCACCATGGTGGAGGGAGTGATGTGTTTATAGCAGGAAAGGATGGAGGCAAGGCAGGTGTGGTAGCCGTGGAAGAGAAGGAGAGTGGTTCGGCAAGAGGGTCACCGGTTGGCAGTGGAAGCAGGTCTCTACGGTGGCTGAGGCTTGGGAGATGAGTGATTTGAACTGACGTTTTACACCAGTCCTAACACCATCGCTGAGCTAGAGTAATCTAGCCATGCACTGGATCTGATTTGTGATAATAACTTCGTCAATGCGTGCAAGCTTTCCTACACACCCCTTTTGTTGCACCTGGCCCTGATTCAAATGCTTGTATTCAATGCAGTTTGCATTTTCCTTGATTTTGTACCGAATACATGGAGCTTTGCCATTGCTTGAATTAGTGCTGCAGTTTACATCTACAGCACGCAATTTTCGTGATTCGTGATTCAGCTGTGTTCCGCATTGCCGCTTGTTTGCTCGCATGCTTTCACCCCTGCCACGACAACTCCAAGGTTATCCCGCCCTAGTTACACAAGCAGCGCACCTGGCGGCAGCTCAGACGACACCACTCTTCCTGAACAGACACGCCACAGACCTTGACCTGACACCCGCTTGGGTAACCTCCGTCGATATTTTATCGTACTAGGTGGTGTGTAGGCGACTCCGCTTTTCGACCCCCGAAAATGGCTGCCACCGCCTCGGCGATTGCCGCGTCTAGACCAGATGGTTACTTGATAGCCATGATCGCAGATGAGGTAGGGCGAACTTGGATCAGCGATCCCTCACTCTAATTCTCGCGTCGTTCTTCTCACCGAGTTCGTGTAGGTGGGTAGAAGACCACGATAAATGACATATTCCTCACATTATTCCGTCAAATGCGCAGGACACGATAACCGGATTTCTGCTGGCCGGAGTGGGCCACATGGACGTGCGGCGACGGAAGAACTATCTCGTCGTCGACTCCAGTGAGCTCTTCGCGACTGGCCCTGAGTCTGTATTTTTCAGGTTATCTTCGATTTGGCGCTGATCAGGAGGTTTTCTGCTCGTGTGTTTTCAGAGACCCCTGTGCGACAGATCGAGGAGTCGTTTAAAGAGTTCAGCAACAGGGAGGACGTCGCCGTCATTCTTATCAGCCAATATGTGGGTCGCCTCGATCATCATTCAACAGGGAGCTGCAGTCTGAATTACGTTCATCTCGTTCTCGCCATTAAAGCCTTGTTCCTGTGCCGTGCAGATCGCCAACATGATTAGGTACAGCATCGACAGCTACAACAAGCCCATACCAGCCGTGTTGGAGATCCCCAGCAAGGAGCACCCGTACGACCCCAACCAGGACTCCATTCTCTCGCGCGTCAAGCACATGTTTGCCTCCTCTGAGTCCGTTTCTGACTCCAGGGTCTGACACGCCCCGCGCACGCTAACACGCTCATGGCCATCTTCAAATCGTTCCTTCATTACCAAGCTCGTTCAAGCTCCTGCCTGATTCCGGTTTGCTCTCTGCACTCTCCACAGCCTGTCCCTGTACGCATGCTGTGTGCAGGTTGGTTGCCCATACCACACTAGAAGTTTCATATTCAATAGTTGTGTAGCTTATTGGTTTGTTTCCTTAACAGATGCAGACGATAGTGATACATGACAAAGCTGTATCAAGCATATGGTGCCCCAAGTCACTACATTGATGAAGCCTGTACACTTTCACCACAGAGCAAGTAACCACCAAATCATTCCAGCTAGGAGTTATCAAATATTTCAGCTCCTTGGCATGAGGCATGCAGGAGTAGTGGTGTGGGACATGTCTCACGTCACATGTCAGGTGTGGCCTCCTCTGTGACAATAGTGAGTGTGACTGTCTTCCCATGTGCCCTCTTGACAACGAGGGGCACCTTCACGCCCACCTTATCTCCCAGCAAGTCCAGCACCTGGCGGGAAGAGGTCACTGGCTGCCCTGCAAACTCCACTATCACATCACCTGGCTGTAACCCACCCCTGGCTGCAGGCGACCCAGGAATCACCTGAGGGGGGTGGGAGAAGAGCAAAAGAAAAGACAGAGTGAGATGGTCAAGAGGAAACAAGGCAGCAGCACAAGCAACGCAGGGCTACACTACGAAGGACATCCAGCAGTGTTGGTCTGGTCTGACTGGCCAAGAGTTGCATCACAGACATGGACCCGAGAGCTCACACGCCACCTGAGCCCACGTGGCCCCATAACAGCAAGTCACCTGGGGGACGAGAATGCCGGCATCGACCGGGGGGAAGGAGGGGTCTCTGTCCCTCAGCTGTGCTGCAATGGAGGCGTTGAGCTCCAACATCTTGATGCCCACGAATGGCCGCACCACTCTCCTGCACTTGGGGTTGAGACGAGAGGGGGAGGGATGGGAAAGGGGGAACGACAAGAGGAGAAAGACGGCAAGCTGACCCAGTCTGTTCCACCTCTCCTGTCCCCCATGCGACCTCTGCTTTCTTACTCAACATGCCCTTCCTCTCGCGCATCCAAATCTAATCATAAACTGCAGTCAATAGGGATGGTGGAACAGACCCTTCTGTTGCTGTGCCCCCATGCCCCTTGCCCCCTCTGTTCTCCTCGAATGCAATTTTCTACCCCCCTCTGTTCACCAGTGCCACTCACCCATGGCGGGAGAGCTGGTCCAGGATGTGAACCGCGGAGTCGATGGGGATGGCGAAGCTGACCCCATCAGCTGCCAGCGCCTTCATGTTGTTGATGCCCACCACCTCCCCGTCCAGATTCACCAGCGGCCCCCCGCTGTTGCCCTGCTCCCCCATGCGTGACACGCACACACACGCCGTTCATGGTTTGTGAGGACGGATTTACCAGCAGGCAAAGGTGCGCGGATACAGATGGATGGTAATGGCATGACCCGGGACAGCATCTTATGGTGTGGAAGCATCTCACATGAGATGGCGTGGCAGAGACTGTTGTGCATGTGTGCGTGGGGTTGCTGCTGTGCATGTTCACACCGCATTGATGGCTGCATCTGTCTGAATGTAATCCATTCGACCTCCCCTCAGCCCCAGCTCTGTGCCCTTGCGATCCACACAACTGCACGCCACCGTGGGAGGGCAGAAGAGGAACAGCAGGAACAAGGTTCACGACATGCCACAGGTAACACTGTGAAAGACTATGTCACCGCATATGCAAGGGATGCATATGCAATAACAGTAGAGTGCGGTGCTGTGAAGTAGTATAGCAAATAGCTAAGAATGCATTGAGGTAGATAGATAAGAAGTAGTGTAGGAGGTGTAGCCAGTAGCGAAGTGTCGGTTGCAAAGGGGTGCAGAAAGGGGGAAATATGTGGGAGCGGTTGGGATGAAGGGGGAAAAGCACCGAAGGGCGAAATGTGGGATTCGAACAAATCCCAACCTCGAGCCGCACATTGGAAATGTGCAAGCCGAGGTTGGGTAAGGTCACCCACGCCCACTCACTCGATGCCTATTGTTCAGTATTCTTTCATACTAGTGCAGGGCTGTTATCCTAGCTACTACACGCGGTGGCACAGCACTAAGAAGGAACCGGTGGGGTGAGGGAGTGATCACGTTCATACTGAACAATAGGGCGCGACACGCAGTCATGGATAAATATGAGCTACGTTGGGGTAGGGTGTTTAGTCGCCGGGAGGAGGAACGAGCACGAGGTGAGCCGTCACGCGAGCGCGGGCGATCTCTGGAGCGCTCGCCGCGAAGGCCGGCATTTCGCGCAGATAGAGTCCCCGTCGCTGGGGACCGACGGGCGGAAGGGAGGCCTAGCGTGGCAGCGGGTGGAGAAGGATACGCCGCAAGCGCGGACGGAGACGTGTGGCGAAGAGGGCATGATCGCGGAGATGGATACGGGAGCGGAGACCGACGCGCTGTGGGAGTGTTCCGCTCGCCGGAAGAGCGCGGGCGCCGCCGTGATGAGAGGGGCCGTTGGCAGGGCGTCGAGCGATTCGACGCCAACCAAGGAGGGGAGGCCGCAGAAAAGGAAGAAGCGTGGGAGACGTCCGGCGAGGAAGAGGCAGAGGAGGACGCAGCGAACCTGGAACGGGCGGTCGAAGACGCCAACGGAGAAGATGACGGCGAGGAACCCGCGGCTGGGATCGGAAGCGCCGAGCCTGAAGAGGCGGACGTTGCCGGGGGCGCAAGCCAGGCAGGGGCGGAAGGATCGCGGTCGGGACGGTCGGAATCACGCGGCCGCGACGCAAGCCGCCAGGAGGAGCATTACGCGGAGAGGTCGCGTCAGCAGGAGCGGCGGGACTGGGGCGTGCATGCCGGCGCTGTGGGGACGCAAGGAGAACACGGCAAAAGGGAGGAAGAGGGACCGCGCGCGTCAGGGGAAGGATCGCGGCGCTGGGAGCGGCCTTCTGTTAACCCTCGCGCACTCGACTGGCGCCAGGCACAAGGGGGCTGGGGCGAAGACGGCGCACGATCGCCGGACAGGCAGCTGATGCACAAGGGAGGATGGGAGGGCGAGCCACGCGCAGCCAGCCACCACTGGCGGCGGGAAGAAGGACGCGAGGAGGGGCCCAGCTCATCAGAGAGGCGCGGCCAGCGGCAAGAGGGGCGCGGCGGGGAGGCACGGACGTCTGGCCCGCAAGCGCAATGGGAGAGGAGGGTGAGCGGCGGATTCCACTCGCCTCTCGTCCGGCAGCAGCGGGGAAGAGAAGGCGGCGGAGACAGGCGCTCGCCCGGAGATCGTCGGCAGCAAGGAAGGGGAGAAGCATGGGAACCGTCGCCAGAGAGGCAGCGGCAGCGAGAGACGAGCACGGCGAGGTGGAGAGAGACACGAGTCTCGCCGGCACGAACGCGAGGGCGTGCGGGGGAGGAGAGGGGCCCGAGAGAAAGGCACGGTGACTCGGGCTGGAACCGGCGGGAGAGCAGAGCTGGAGGGGGGAGCTTAGCATATGGCGCTGAGCGGGCCCGAGAGGCCAGGGAAGGCATGGAGAGGGCCAAGGAGAGAAGGACTGGGGAAGAGCGGCTGGGAGGGGCCAGGGAATCGTGGGGAGAAGGGCGGGGAAGTACAGCCAGCGCGACGCGGGTGGAAGTGCCGGCGAGGTTCTCGGGGGACCAACGGGTGGGGCCGGCCCTCAAGAATTACTTGATGCAGGTGGGGAACGTGAGATACCGCTGTGACAGGCAAGGCATGGACCCAGTAGACTTCTTCTTGAGCCTGCCCAACACACTGGAGGGAGAGGCGGAGACCCTGTACCGCATGAGGATGGACGAGCTGCTGTGGAGGGCAGGGAGGTACGGGGAGGATCCCACCGAGGCATTTCTGGAGCGGCTTCAGTGTCAATTCCCGGGACACACGGCGGAGCGCATAAGGGAGTTTCAGGAGTTCAGGAGGGGACGAACAGAATCCCTACTGACCTACTACAACCGACTGATAAACTTGGCGGAAGATGTGAAATGTTCGGACAGCAGCCTCCTCATCAGTAAGTTTCTTGGAGGCCTGGACGAAACACTGGGGGGGGGACTGAGGATGAGGGTGTACGAGTTGGGGGCGGATGCGGCACTAGAGGAGGTGTTTGACCTGGCGGAAAGGGTGGAGCTGGCACAAAGGAGGTATGAGGCCTACCTGCCGAGGCCGACAGAGAGAAGCCGCAGACCGACATGGGCGGCGGCTATGATACCAGAGGAGCGAGGGAGGGTGGACCCACACGGGGAAGAGAGAGCCGACGCGCGCACCTGCTACCGGTGTGGACAGATGGGGCACCTCCGCAGAGAGTGCAAAAACTGTGATGGATGTGGGAAGCCTGGGCACCGGAAACGAGAATGTCCGGATGCGGCGAAGTGTGAAATCTGCGGGAAGAAGGGGCACGAGGCCAAGGAGTGTTACCAGCGGGAGGGAGGGGCAAGGAGGAAACCAGAGGAGCTGCAGCGGCAGATCAGCAGGCTGCAGTCTCAACTGCAGGCCATGGGGTCAGGGTGGGGAGCGGAGGCGGGGATGTACGCTAGGGACGAGGAGGGAGAAGGGGTGGAGCCGGACGTGCAGTGTGCCCTCATGGCCTGGAAAGGCAGGGAACAGATGGGGCTGCGTAGCGGGGGGAAGGATGGCAGGCAGGAGCATAGCCGGAAGCCACGTGAGCAGGGGTCCAGGCCGGACGCGCCAGGAGGAGAGAAGACCCCAGCCCGCCACCCGCAGGAAAGACTCGCGTGCCAGACCTCGGTGCTGCTCGTGGAAGCAGGAGCGGTGGAAGTGGGGGGGATGAAGGTAAAGACGGCGATCATTGACACAGGAGCACAGAGCGTGATGCTGGGTAAGGGGATGGCCGAACGGTTGGGGCTGATGGCCCCTGAGAGGCACGTGGCGAAGGGGATGTTAGTCATGACAGCAGAGGGAGGGGAACCAAAGTGGATGCCGTGCACACGGACCCCCATAGAGTTGACACTGCTGCCAGGAGGGGAGCATGAAACAAGGATCAGGATGAAGTGTGGAATCTCGGAGTCCGAGGACTTTGATCTGCTGATGGGGACGGAATTGGTGTTCGCTGTAGGCATGAGCATATGTACCTGGATGGAGAAGGTGGAGTTCCGAACGAGATACTGGAAGAAGGAGGGACCATTGGGGCAGCTGCCAGTGCAGTTTGTAAGGGTGGAGCCGAAGCGGGCCTATCAGGTCGGAGCAGGAGGGGCACAAAGGGGGCAGGGAGGAGCAGCAGAGACCAAGGAGGGGCCCAGGATGAAACTGATGGACAAGCCGGGGCAGCATAGCGATTGGCAGCAGCCCATCCGGCTAGTAGAGTTGTTCGGAGGAATCGGGGCAGGGCTGGCGGCAGCAGTGAGGAGTGGGATTGCAGTGCAGCAGTGGGTCTATGTGGAACTGGCACCACAGGTGAGAAGGATGGCTGAGCATCACGCGCGGAAGCTGAGAGCTGAGTTCCCGGACCTCCTGAGTGAGAAAGTAATTCAGGAAGCCATGAGCAGTACGGTGCACGATGTGAGTCAGATCACAGAGGAGCAGGTGGCCAGCTGGGGGCAGGTGGACCTGCTGGTGGCGGGATGGGAGTGTCAAGGGGTGTCATGGGCAGGAAAAGGGAAGGGAGGGGAAGACCCGAGGAAGAAGCTGATGGACAACCTGTTCAATATCCTGGAGTGGCTGCAGGAGAGGCAGGGCAGAGTGGCTTACTTGATAGAGAATCTGGATCTAGAAGGGGATTGTAGAGAGTCGATTCGGCTGGTGAGGGAGAGGATTGGCCGGCACGTGGGAAAAGGGATGAGCTGTGATGCAGCCAGGGCAGGGTCGTACGCTCACCGCCTCAGGATGTACTGGCAAAACGTGGTTCCCGTGCTGGATCTGCAGGAGGAAGCAGAGGGGATGAGGAGGGCTACAGGGAGGAGGGTGGTGGACATCCTGGAGCCGGGACGGACTCCCGCGCCAGTTTGTCAAAGAAGTTACAGCAGGCACTACCCGTGCAACCAGGTGGGGCAGGACAGGAGGGCTCTGCCCACCTTGGTTGCTTTTGCAGAGGCAGCAGGCTACAGGTGGGAAAAGGGGGAGCCCGGACCCGGGCTGATATATGACCACAAGCGGGGACGGTGGGAGGAACCGACGGCATTAGAGAGGGAGCTGGCTATGGGATATGGAGAAAACGTGACGGCAGCACCAGGGGTGAGCGAGGAAGACAGGAGGAGGGCAATGGGGAATGCCATGGATGGCTACATGATGAGGTGGCTGGTGCAGAGGATGTGGCGAGAGATGGTCTTGGGTGGGGGGCAAGAGGCAGATAAGGTGGCGGCAGCAGCAGCCCCACAAGGAGCATGGACCTGCCAGGAGGAGGAGGGAGAGAAGTGGACAGTGGGGGAAGCGATGAGTGAAGAGGGAAGGGAAGTTATGCTGGGACTGCTTGCCAAGCATAGGAAGTGCTTTGCCTTCACACTGCAAGAACTGGGAAGGTGCAAAATGAAGGAGATGGAGCTGAAACTGAGCAGCACAGAGCCGGTGTTCCAACGGCGTAGGAAGATGCCGCACGGAGATGAAGAGATATGCAAGGAGAAGATTAAGGAGCTGCTAGCGGCCGGACTGATCCGGCGCTCAGAATTAGAATACGCCACACCAACAGTGGTGGCAGCGAGGAAGGACTTAACAGGGGAGATCCTGAGCAGGAGGATGTGCGGAGATTACCGAGCGCTCAACAAGATTACCGTGGCGGACAGGTACCCAATGCTGATGGCGGAGGAGATATTTGACAAGTTAGCAGAGGGGGTGTTCTTCACGACGCTGGACCTGCGGCAGGGGTTCAATCAGATAAAAATCAGGGAGGAGGACGTTAGGAAGACGGCATTTCACGGGCCGGATGGGCTGTACGAGTGGCTTTACATGCCATTCGGGCTGAGGAACGCATCAGCAGTGTTTCAGAGAGTCATGGATGCAGTGCTGAGGGACGTAGAATGTGCAGCGTGCTACATAGATGACGTGATGATCTTCAGCACCTCCGAACAGCAGCACCTGCAGGATGTGGAGAAGACACTGGCAGCAATAGAAGCAGCGGGACTCACGTGTCACCCGAAGAAGTGTAGGTGGGGTGAGCAGACCGTTCAGTATCTGGGCTACGAGGTGACAGGGGGGTAGATCGGGATCCAGCAAGCAAAGGTGGAGGTGCTGGATAGGCTGCGAGAACCAAAGGACAAGACAGGGCTGAGAGCGGTGTTGGGGTTTCTGAGTTACTACCGGCGATTTGTGCCCAACTTCAGCAGGCGGGCAGCGGTGTTGAACGGACTGTTAAGGGAGGACAAGACATGGGAGTGGGGGGAAGCGCAGAAGGGGGCATTGCAGGACCTGATGGCGGCGGTGAAAACAGCAACCGTCTTGCAGCTGCCAGCAGCGGACCAACCCTTCACCCTCTACACCGACTGGAGCAGCCAAGGGATGGGCGGGATACTCTGCCAGGAGGTGGAAGGGGATGAGAAGGTGGTGGCCTACGCGAGTAGGAGCTGCAACTCGGCGGAGGCACAGTACAGCTCGTACACAGGGGAGGGACTGGCGGCAGTATGGGCTGTGGGGCACTTCAGGGTCTACTTGCAGGGGCGGGAGTTCACCCTGGTGACGGACCACCAGCCACTGACATGGCTGATGACTACACCAGGGTTAACAGGCAGGAATGCACGATGGGCAATGAAGCTGCAGGAGTATGACTTCAAAATCAAGCACAGGCCAGGAAAAACCTTGCAGCATGTGGACGGCCTCTCCCGTAACCCCCCACCGCTAGAGCCAACAGTGACCCTTGCGCTGCTGGCCAGACAGGTGGAGCTGAGCGGGGCCAGGAGGAGCAAGGGGCCGGCTGATATCTGGGAGGATGAGCAGGCTGTGAGATGGGTGAAGGGAGAGACAGGGGCAGACGAGGAGATGAGCGAGAGGGTGAGAGCAAGGGGGCACCACTACAGGTGGTACCAGCAGCAGTTGCAGATACAGACCGAGGGTGGGTGGAAGCTGGTGCCGGCCCCAGGTGACAGGGAAGCAGTGATAAAGGAGGTGCACTCAAAGCTGGGGCACTTCGGGCATGAGAGGACAGTGCAGTTGTTGAAGACGGGCTGGTGGTGGGAGGGAATGCCCAGGCAGGTGCAGAAGTGGGTGGAGGGATGTGAGGCCTGCCAAAGGAGCCGAGCAAACCTGACCCAAGCCAAGGCCGAGCTGCAGTCCCTGCCCATCCGCGGGTTAGGCTTCAGATGGTCCTTGGACCTGGCGGGGGAACTGCCGCTGAGCCGGGGGGGGAAACGGTACATAGTGCTCATGGTGGAGCACGTGAGCAAGTGGCTGGAGGTGAGGGCTATCCCCAGCAAGAGCTCAAGACATGTGGCAGCAGCATTCAAGGAGCAAGTAATATGCAGATTTGGGGCGTGTGCAGAGGTGCTCACCGATCAAGGCACAGAGTTTCAAAGGGAGTTCAGGGAGCTGTTAGAGGAAGCGGGAATCACCCACAGGCGCACCTCTCGGTATCACCCACAGAGTGATGGGCTGACCGAGCGCCTAGTGCAGACGTTGAAGCGAGGGCTACGGACATATGGGGAAAAAAGGAAGCGGGAATGGGACAATGAGCTACACTGGATTGCGGCAGGATATAGGTTTGGGAAGCAGGCAGCCCTGAGAGACCATTCACCCTACAGCCTTCTGTTTGGTTGTGAGCCGGTGCTACCTGTGGGGGCACCACGGGTCCTCACGGACACAGTGACAGCAGGCACCATAGACAACTGGGTGGCCTTGTCAGAGGCCAGAGCAAGGTACCTCCGAGTGATAATGCCAGCAGCGCTAGAAAACCTACACACGACACAGCTGAGAGACGCCAGACGTTATGAGCAACGCCAGCAGCAGGGGATGTTGGGAAGGAGAGAGAAAAAGGGAGCAAGTGAGGGGCAGGAGGTGTACCTGAAAAGGGCAAAACAGGACACGCTGGACGTCGGGGTGGGGACCGAGAGGTGGAGAGTGAAGGAAGTTCGGCCCTCGGGTATTCTCGTGCTGGAGAACGAAAAGGGGGCACAGCTGAAGGAGCACCAGACCAACACGGCCCTGGTGAGGGGGAGCAAGCCTCAGCAAGCTGGTCCTGTGACACGAGCTCGAGCTACCCAAGCGCGGGCACAGGAGGGGGCAGTGAGTGACTGAGGCAGGGCAGCACAGAGCAGGGAGTGTTGAAGAAGAACAACGGGAAGAAGAGCAAGTGCTGGTGAGGGTCACACACTCCGACAGCTGTCACCGCATATGCAAGGGATGCATATGCAATAACAGTAGAGTGCGGTGCTGTGAAGTAGTATAGCAAATAGCTAAGAATGCATTGAGGTAGATAGATAAGAAGTAGTGTAGGAGGTGTAGCCAGTAGCGAAGTGTCGGTTGCAAAGGGGTGCAGAAAGGGGGAAATATGTGGGAGCGGTTGGGATGAAGGGGGAAAAGCACCGAAGGGCGAAATGTGGGATTCGAACAAATCCCAACCTCGAGCCGCACATTGGAAATGTGCAAGCCGAGGTTGGGTAAGGTCACCCACGCCCACTCACTCGATGCCTATTGTTCAGTATTCTTTCATACTCGTGCAGGGCTGTTATCCTAGCTACTACACGCGGTGGCACAGCACTAAGAAGGAACCGGTGGGGTGAGGGAGTGATCACGTTCTGTGAGTGACTGAGGCAGGGCAGCACAGAGCAGGGAGTGTTGAAGAAGAACAACAGGAAGAAGAGCAAGTGCTGGTGAGGGTCACACACTCCGACAACTATCTGCCCCTACTCTGGCCATAAAACGCTCATTCACGTCACCCAACAAAAACACCTGAGATGGCCACCTGATGCTTGTATGCTGCCAGCATGATTACAGCCTGGACCTGACTGCATGTTCAACCACCAGCAGCACCTGAAGCCCCAGCCAGCAGCACCTGAGGGCGCAGGCAGCACCTGAAGCCCCAGCCAGCATGTGAAGGCGCATTCAGCAGCAGTGAAGGGGTGCGCCCACCTGACGATGCCGGCAGTGACGGTGTTGGAGAGGTGCAGAGGCGAGCCCAATGCCACCACCCAGTCCCCCGGCCGCAGTGCCTTGGACGACCCCAGCTTCACCACCGGCAGCGGTGACAGTGCTGACACCTGTGTTGGGCAGTGTGGCGGGTGAGAAGAGGAAAGGAGAGGAGAGGAGAGGAGAGGCAGGCAGCAAGGGTGGACAGCCACTCGAAGAGCACAGAAATTGGATTCGAGTAGCAAGGAGCAAAGTGATGTCAGCGTGGTGGAGAAGAGTGATGGGGGCAGCACAAGAGGCATCGCAAGGTGTTGGCCTACAGGTGTGGAAGCAGGAGAAAGGAGAGTGGTGAGACAGGTGGGTGAGGGCAAGAGCACGTGTTTTAGCACCTTGACGAGGGCGATGTCAGAGAGAGAGTCAAAGCTCAGCACGTGGCCGTCAAACGTGCGTCCGTCCTGCAGCGTCACCTGCAGCTGTTATGGGGGGCGACCGGAGGGGCAGGGCAGGCAGTAGTTGGCACGAGCATCAGCCAACAAGTCACCAGGACGCAGAAGTGAGTGTTTGCACTGTAAACTTTGGAGCTAAGTTGGGTAAGGGGGGGTGTTGGTCAATGGAGCAGAGAGAAAAGTGACAAAGGATCAGGTGGCAGTCAGGCTACACAGCCACAGTAGCTTGCGTTACCCTCGTCCTAGGGCCCTCACCATGCCCCCAGCGGCCTCACCATGCCCCTAGCGCCCCTCACCATGCCCCCAGCGCCCCCCACCCAGCGCCCCTCCCCCCCACCCCCCGTTGGCGCCCTGACCGTGGCGCGGGAGCTCCAGTAGGGCGCGGAGGAGGCGGAGGGGTCGACCATCTCCGCCACCACGTGCGCGTTGGTGAGAATGAGCCCGTCCGCCCTGATTATGGCCCCCGATCCCATCGCCTGCCCGCTGAACATGCCCCGCCCTGATGGGGAGGGGGGTGAAGGGGTGGGGAGGACGGGAGGGGGAGAGGAAAAAGGTGCAGGGGAATGTGACTGGCGACGGATACATGATGGCGCACTCTTGTGGGACGCACATGCATGAACGCACGCATACATGAAAGCATGCATCCACGCATTCGCCCCTTCCCCCCACCCCCCACCTCTCCCCCCTCCCCCTCCCCCCCTCCAACACACACACTCACGCGGATTCACACTGTCCACGCACCCACACTGACTGTCAGGTTGACCACAGCAGGCGCTGCCCTTGCAGCCGCGTCAGCAATGGCATGTCGAGACAAACAATTCCGCCCACACGTCCCACCACCACTACTACTTGCATCCCCTTTCTCCCTCGCATCCGCCTCCCCATGCCCCGTCCCTGCCATTCCCCCTTCTTCACTCCCCCCCTGTTTCCCACTCTCAACTGCCTTCGTCCACTCTCCTTCCCCATCCTTAGGCCCTTTTCCCCTTCCCTCCTGCGCCTCCGTCTTTTCCCCAGGTTCCCCTTCTCCCGGGAGCAGCCGTTTAATCCCCTCAACCACGCTGCGGGGCGCGGAAAGGGATCCATGCGGGGGAGGTGCGGGCAGAGGCGGGGAGTCGGGGCCGGGGAAGGGGATAGCCGTTGGAGAGGCATCGGCGGTGAGAACCAGCCGCGGAATAACTCTTGAACGAGGCGAGGCTATAGCTTCAAGCGGAGATAACGGCAGGGAGGCATGGGTGGAATCTGCGGCGGCGGAGTCACGCGACTCGTAGTGGGGGAAGGCGGAAAACGGACCAGCGGATTGCGCGTGATGGGCGGATGGGAGCGGGGAGGGCGCATGAGGCGAATGAAGCGCAGTTGCCGCAGTCGCTCCGCCTGCCAGTGCGCCGACGAGAGCAGGAAGGAACCACGAGAAACGGCGCGACGATGATGAGGAAGGTTTAACGGGAGTCGCTGGCGTAATTGATTGGTGCAATCTCCGAATTCCCGTTTCCGCAGCTTGGAGCGGAGCTCGGAGTTCCGCGGCTGCCCCGGCCAGCAATCCCTGCGCAGAGGAAACCCGCTTGACGTCACCGACTCGCCGCGACATGCACCGTGCGAGCAGGTATGACGTCATGGCTCGAGAAACGAGATAGCCACCGCAATTGGCGCTGGAAACGTCGGTCACATTACACCTGAAAGCGGGCGCATTGCGAGAGCCCAGTTATTGATCCACACAGCATCGAGCACGTCATTAACACGCCATGCTTCGTTAGTGAACTTTGACTTCCTTCCTTATAACTGGTGAACATTATACAATCATACGAATCAGTTTCCACTGGTCAGTGGGAAATCACATTTGCCCTCGTTAGTGTACTGTCAATGAAATCGGGTTGTTGTACATGAAAACATGTGGTAGCCTAAGGAAGCGGAAATATCTTGCTTCGCCTCGCCTGCGAGCGAGTCAGCGAAGTACCAATCGGCGCCATCACATCACACCTCCCTTCTCGAAAACCTTCATTTACTGCGGATGATTGTATGGAAGCGTCCATCACGTGATCAGCACGCTGGTCCCAGCGAATTAGTGATCTCGGCAGGCCCAAAGATCCGCCAGGCTGGATAGTGTGCAGCATAGTAGCAAGCCCTTGCAACAACTACAAGTACCCCAACGTTTTTGTCCATCCAACAGTGGTCTCAACTCTACTGTGTGCGGTGTACTCTAGACTGGACTAAGTGCCTGCCATTTGCAGGGCGATACTGGCAGGGCAGCCGCAAAACAGACTGCGTTTGTGCTGGCAGAACCCCATCCGCTGTGAACCTGCAGAATGCTGGCGTTTCTGGCAGAGGTGTTTGTCCTTCAAGATTCGTCCTAAATTCAATCGAATCGGTCGATGAACCATGTGATAAACCCATGCGTTATCATTAATCGCAACCGTTCCGGGGTTCCTACGAATGCCATTGGCGAAAGCGAGTCTTACAGACGCTGAGAAAATGATTCGGTTTTCCCAGCCATTCAGCTGTCTTTTCACGCGCGTGACAAGAAAGGAGTGTGAATCCTAGCTCCAAGATCAAAACAACTGTGCACTAATCTGAGTCTATAGTTATCATAGTACTTGTTTGATTGTGGGTTGTTCTCACCATTTTCTCCTATTATTTTCTTCTTTTCTTAGCCTGAATGCTACTCTTGGCCTGAATGCTACTCTTTCATACTAGCATCGTCCATGTGATCCACCCAGTAGGGTGTAGTGTCGAAACGGTTCAAGGCCGCGTGACTCACTTGTCCGTTGAGATATATCATGAGGTTTAATGCGAGGGTAATTAGTTTAAGCGTTGACTCGAATCATCCTAAACTTTGAAACGTGACCTGTGGCAGCTTCAAGGCTGTGAATTCGGCGGTAATACAGCAGGGCGTTCCATATTGGTCTGATCATTTCGAATTTTGACGCACATTCGTCGCCAGCCCATTCCTCGCCGCAGGATCGCACGAAGCAGCATATGCACGCCGCATTACCTCGCTAAGTGTGGGTGCGCTGTGTTACTGTCGCCGCATACCCCGCGCGATACTCGAATTGGCTTGGCACTGACGAAAAGATTGCACAGAGATGGTGCAATACGTCAATGCTAGATAACGAGGATTACAATGTGGTGACCCACAAGCAAGAAGACACTACTAACCATTCCTCAGCAATCAATAGTCCCATCCATGGAGCTCAGCTCAGCTGTCAGGGTATTCCCTAACCTGTCCCTATCGTGTACAGTTTGCAGTCCAGCCCGCCCGATCGATCCACGCAGACGTGTCGCGCGGCTATCTGAGAGCCGAGGGTTCAGCAAAATCAGCAAACGCCCTCACTCATTCCCGCTGTCCCGACGCTCCTCTTGGGGGAGCAGGGCTTCAGGATGGATGGCGGAGGGGCTGAGAGGCTCCTAGCTAACGCATTAATCAAGGGCATCGCCAAAAATGGCAACAGGAACCTTCGCAACTGCCAAATTCGCGAATGGGCCGAGTGATGCTGCTCAGTCGATGCTGCTCTCACATGCCGAAAGAATACCGCGTCGTATCCTCATCATTGGTCCCCCAACGCTGTTAGCGACGCGGTTTATGATCATCGGTAGCAATCACAGCTTGTTGCAAGTTAACTTCCTTCAAGCAGGAACCGTTAGTCTTGCAGGAAACATTTTCTCGATAGGTTCTCGAGCACGACGACAAAGAGCTAGTATCGCATCCCGTTCCTTCAGCTGAGCTTAACATCCGCCGCCGTGAATTGCGTGAGTAGTAGCAATACTGTAATCCGGTTTCCACGTCACGACCTCGTACAGGGCACGCAGTCTCTAATAATGTCAGACGGCGCAGCCGAATAAGGAGAAAACAGCCACCAAGCCGTTGGCGAGCGACGCGGCGTGCTCGCCATGGACCGATATCTGCGGGGAGCCGTAAGAACTCCGCACGAGGCGAGCAGCGCCGTGATTTCCGGCGATACCACAGGTTCCAGCGCGTCAGTTGTGGCCGTTGATTTCCGACACCAGACGCCGAATCCACTCACGAGCGTGTCCGCAGCGACGGCCGTTCATGGCTCTATGCCCGCCGAACGGTGGCCTTTACTCTGTAGTGCCGTCAGCAGCAGTACGAGTGGCAGCACGAGCACGATAAGCGCAGCGCACCTCGAGATCGCCGCGGCGCGGCCGCCATTCGATGCCAATTTGCAGCGGATACTGGACACCTCGTCACTCGACGAATTCTGCAGCGCGGGGGAACCAAATCCTGTCCGCGGAAGTTTTCCCCCCTTTTACCCCGCACAGCGCCGCCTACCCGCGCGCTCGCTGCGCGGAGACCCGCCTGGCGGGTCCGCGGGGCCCCTCCCCATTGCACCGGCTCCGAATGTGTGGGGCGCCGCGAGCGCGCATCGCCTTCCCACTGCGGGCTTTCTTCCCGTCGTTCCCGAGGCCCTGACGGCCGTTACGGGCGGCTCGAGCCCCGTGCACGGCCTCGTGTCGTTGCCGGAGCGCCTTCACGGCCTCTTCACCTCCACTGACTTTCTGCCTTCCGCCCAGTTACCCCACAGCGCGCATGACGCCGCCTCCCGTGCTGCCGCTCACCGACCCTTACCCGCGTCGTTGATGCTGCCGCCACCGGAGCCACGAGCCGCCGGGACCGCCGGCAAGTCAGCTGCAGCCTCGGCGACAGCGCGTTGGGAGAGCGACTCGGCAGCCACGCTAGCAGCGCCGCTGACGACGTCGACGAGCGCGGCGCTGGAGGCGGGGTTTGCGACATTTGCGGGCTCTGATCGTCACGTCGACGACGGCACCTCGAGGTGGCGGAGGCGACTGGAGCTGCGCTGCGAGCCCGTCGCCGCCGGCGGCGGCGGTGCACCGCACGCTGCGGAGGCAGGCGCAACGTGGGCCTTCCCCTCGGCGGAACAGCTGGTAGCAGCAGCGGATGAGGCGGCGGGTGGGGGAGCGGGAGTAGCAGCAAATGAATCGAAGGGTATCCCTGTGACAGTGACGGAGGGCCTGCCGCGGGCGCTGGAGCTCGCAAGGCGGGGAATGGATAACGCGGAAGGGGACGGGGGTTTAGAGGGCGTGGGCGGAGGCGGGGGCATGGAGGGCGTGGTTGAGACCTGGGGCACGTGGGACACGGCGTGGGGCGCGATGGGGATGGACGCGGGGTTGAGAAGCGCTGGCACCGGCTTGGGCGCGGCGGATATGAGCGCAGACATGGGCATGGGCGCGGGCGCGGGCGCGGACATGGTTATGGGCACGGGGATGGGGATGGACATAGAGGCGGCGGTGGAAATGGAGTTGCGATGCGCCGAGGAGCTACTAAGACGCACCGCCATGGTAGCCGAAGCCGAGGCGCCGGCCATCGCGCCCGAGGGAGAGGCTGACGCGCCCGCCATGGCTCCGCGCGAGGCCGAGGTAACGGCCATGGCGGGAGAGGTCGAGGCGCGAACGGATAGCACGCAGGATAGCGGCATGGCAGACCCGCCGTCGCACCCTCTCGCCCTCGCTGCAGCGCAAGCACCGCCCGTGTCTGGCGGTGACGCACCCTCTCCTGGTGCTGCCCCAGAAATCGCGCGCTTATCCCGCCGCAACACGTGGTCCGCAGCGCCGTTCCCGTCGTCGGCGGACGCGGCGCTGATGCAGGCGATGGAGCTGGATCGCCTGGAGCACGACGCCGCCATGGCGCGCCTCACCGCCATGGCCGCATCTCACAGCGCCAATCCCGCTCTGCCTCCCGCCCCGCCGCTTGCTCCCACCCTCCTTTCCCCAACCGCCCCCAGTACCCGCCTTTCCGCGGCACCCACTTCCGCTGTGCGCGCTGCTGACGCCATTATGACAGCTGCGCCCGCCGCCGCCATGCCCGCCGCCATGGCCGACGGCGCTATGGATGCTCCGTTCCTGCCCGCCCTCGACTTCCCCTCGCGCGCCAAGTCGCTCCACCCGCCCGTGCTGCCCGCAGATAGCGCTCCCCCCGCCAGCCCAGCAGCCGTCTCATTGGCTGAGGCCTTCCGCATGGAGGCGCTCCGAGCAGGCTGGGGGGAGAAAGACGGGGAGGGGGAGGGGGAGATGCGGGATGGAGAGATGCAGGAGAGTGGCGGGCAGGGCGTCGGGACATGGCAGGGTGGTGAAGGAGGAGAGCCAGCAGGGGGAGAAAGCACGGCATGTGGGGCCTCCAGCTGTCACACGAGCAAGCAGGGGGGCGCGTGTGAAGGGGACGGGGAAGCAGTGGACACGGAATTGCCCGGAAGCTTGGAGGGCCAAGCGGACGGGGATGGCGGGGCGGAAGAGCGGGGGAGGGAGGCGGTGATGGAGGGACCCAGCAGCAGCGGAGCAGCGGCGCTGTGGAACCCAGCGAGGGCGGCTGGGGGGAACACTGCCAGTGGCGGGGGCGGAAAGCCAGCCCTGGTGACAGCAGCAGCAGGAGCAGCGTGTGCAGGGCGCGGTGGAGGAGCGATCTTTGACCCCTGGGCGCCCACCCGCACCACCACACTCACTGTCGCCCACCTGCCAGGCATTGCCTCAGCTGTGCAGGAGCTGCTGGCGCGGCGGTTTGCAATGAATCAAGAGCGCTCCGCCCCGCCTGCTGTTGCGCCCGAGGTGCAGCAGCTGTTTGCGCGCCGCCACACCATGTCCGGCACCCCCTCAGTGCGTGACTTGAGCTTGCAGCCCAGCCTGCCCCGCCCCTTGCACCCGCTCCCCTTCACCCTCCCCACCATCCACTCTCTTGAAGACCCTCTCCCACTCGTCCCTCGCTCCCTCGCCTCCTTAACCACGACTGCACCTGCAGCCGCTGCAGCAGCTGCTGCTGCTGCGCCGTCTGCTCGCACTCTCTTTCCCTCGGTGCACCCCTTCAGCAGCACCACCCTGGGAGGGCACCACGTGCCTTCCCTGCCCACCACTGTGCCAGCGCCCTTCCCATCGCCTGCCACCTCATCACCTGCCATCCCGTTCCGCTTCCTCACGCCTCCCCTGACGCCCTCGTCACCTCCCCTCACCGTCACACCCAGAGGAGCCATCAGCGCCGGTGCTGCCAGCAGCAGCAGCAGCGGCAGTGCAGGAGCAGCAGGGCCCTTTGCCCGGTCAAGAGGGCTCAGGGGGTCAACAGGGTCAAAGGGGTCAACGGGGTCAAAGGGGTTGACAGACCCTTTCACTTTCCCCCCGCCCTCTGCAGCGCCCCAAAGTGAGGCCGCACGGGGCAGCATGCTTCATGCCGGCTCCAAGCGAAGCCTTTCCTCCTCCACCCTCCCCTCCATCACTCTCCCAACCATCCCTCCCTTTTCATCATCCATCGCGGTCCATCAACAAACCTTCCTGCCCTTGTCCGCGCCGCCGCCTCCCTTCGCCGCGACGTCCTCCCTCCTCCCCTTCCTGCCTGACGCCTCCACCACGGACACCCTGCGCTGCCTGGGGTGTGGAATCGAACTAGACCAGGAAAATGCAAGGGAGGCTCTGGCTTTACCCGATGGGGTGGGGCCGCCCTTGCCTCGCGGCTCGGAAATGCTAGCGGGGCGCATTCCACGTGTGCACGGGTGCAATGAGTGCCTGCCGTTGCTCGTGCCCAGTTACTTCAAGAGACGGGCAGCTGCGAAGAAGCACACTCCTAACAAGTCCACGTGAATTGGAATGTGAAGATTGTATTCTCAATTGTTTTGTTGTAAGAGCTGGTCAAAGAGGTGTACTTTGCCTTAATTATATCTTGAAACTTCATGTGAACATTTTCACGATGTAGAGCCACTCTGCCACGCACAGCTTCGCGCTTCACCGCATTCATGAAACGCCCTCAGAACAGAACATTTTCCAGCGCTTCACATATGCTCTTGTCGCCTTCATTGTTGAACTGACACTCTCCGTTCGGTGGAACTCGACCAAGCGATTTTGTTCTTCCGATCATCGGCACGGATTCGTTCTTCCGGAGCGGCTGCTCGCTTTCCACGCAACTCAGCAGTCTATCCCGCTTCTTCCGCATGCCTGCTCAGATAGGCTGAAATTTCTCGAAAGTTCCGCGGGTGTTGGTTTGCTGTCATCTCCTGCGGGCTTTAAGAGCGCGATCTGCACGAGAAATATCACCGTCTCGTCGCCTTTTGTTCGAAATGCCTGGCAATGCGGCCGCGGAGGAACTGGAGCATGGTCGCGGGGAACCTTCCCCGCACAAGCGGAAGCGGGGAGGTGCGAAGGAGGTGGATGTTGACTGCAGCGGACTGGCGAGTATAGACTCAGGGAATGCCGAGGGCGAGAGCGTTGCGAGCTTTTTTGTTAGTAGCGCCAGGCAGATCTGGTATCCGACACAGTGCGCGACGAAACGGATGCGAGGCGCGGCGGAATCACGCACGATGATGGCGGAGGGCGGGGCAGAGGGAGGGGCGCAGAGGGGGCAAGGGGACGCGGGGAAAGAAGGGCATGGATGCGAGGCGCAAGGAAAGGAGGCAGAGGCAGCGACGGAAAGGCAGGCGAGGGGGGGATTGGCGGAGAGCGAGGAAAGTGCGCGAGGGGATGGTGGCGCGCGGGATGGCTGTGGCGCGCGTGATACATTCGGGGGAGGCGGAGAAATCAAGAGGGCGAGGGAGGAGGTGAAGCAAGAGATGGTGGAGGAGGCGATGCAACGCGGCGGGTGTGAGGGCGCTCAAGCATTTGTGCGCATACCCCCGTGCCTTTATGCGCCACCACCGTTTCATCCTGCGCCCTGTCAGGCCCCACCGCACCTCCGTGACTCTCCGCCCGTCCATGCCTCTCCGCCCGTCCATGCGTCTCCGCCCGTCCATGCCTCTCCGCCCGTCCATGCCTCTCCGCCCGTCCAGGTCTCCCCGCCCGTCCATGTCTCCCCGCCCGTCCATGTCTCCCCGCCCGTCCATGTCTCCCCGCCCGTCCATGGCAGCGTGCGCAGGTCCGTCACAGCTGGTCTCTGTGAGTCGCTGCTTCCAGCACCGCCCATGGCACCAGCGCCACTCGCGCCATTAGCAGCGTCAGCAGCTGCTGGCCCCCACACTGCACCATCAGCAACACCGGCAGCAGCACCATCAGCAGCAGCAACCATAGCACCAGCGCCAGCAACAGCACCAGCACCAGTTGAAGCACCATTGGCAGCAGCGCCACCATCAGCAGCTTCAGCAATAGCAACAGCAGAAGTATTAACATCAGCACCACCAGCGACAGGAGCAGCACCATCAGCAGGAGCAGCAACAGCACCGGCAGCAGCAGAAGCACCAGCAGCAGCAGAAGCACCAGCAGCAGCAACAGCACCAGCAGCAGCAACAGCACCAGCAGCAGCAACAGCACCAGTAGCAGCAACAGCACCAGCAGCAGCAGAAGCACCAGCAGCAGCAACAGCACCGGCAGCAGCAGAAGCACCAGCAGCAGCAGAAGCACGAGCAGCAGCAACAGCACCAGCAGCAGCAACAGCACCAGCAGCAGCAGAAGCACCAGCAGCAGCAACAGCACCAGTAGCAGCAACAGCACCAGCAGCAGCAGAAGCACCAGCAGCAGCAACAGCACCAGCAGCAGCAGAAGCACCAGCAGCAGCAACAGCACCAGCAGCAGCAGAAGCACCAGCAGCAGCAACAGCACCAGTAGCAGCAACAGCACCAGCAGCAGCAGAAGCACCAGCAGCAGCAACAGCACCAGCAGCAGCAACAGCACCAGCAGCAGCAGAAGCACCAGCAGCAGCAACAGCACCAGCAGCAGCAACAGCACCAGCAGCAGCAGAAGCACCAGCAGCAGCAACAGCACCAGCAGCAGCAACAGCACCAGCAGCAGCAGAAGCACCAGCAGCAGCAACAGCACCAGTAGCAGCAACGGCACCGGCAGCAGCAGAAGCACCAGCAGCAGCAACAGCACCAGCAGCAGCAACAGCACCAGCAGCAGCAGAAGCACCAGCAGCAGCAACAGCACCAGCAGCAGCAACAGCACCAGCAGCAGCAGAAGCACCAGCAGCAGCAACAGCACCAGTAGCAGCAACAGCACCAGCAGCAGCAGAAGCACCAGCAGCAGCAACAGCACCAGCAGCAGCAGAAGCACCAGCAGCAGCAACAGCACCAGCAGCAGCAGAAGCACCAGCAGCAGCAACAGCACCAGTAGCAGCAACAGCACCAGCAGCAGCAGAAGCACCAGCAGCAGCAACAGCACCAGCAGCAGCAGAAGCACCAGCAGCAGCACCAGCAGCAGCAGAAGCACCAGCAGCAGCAACAGCAACAGCAGAAACGTCAACATCAGCACCACCAGGAAGAGCAACAGCAACAGCAGAAGGACCAGCATCATCACCAGCAACGGCAGCAGCAACAGCACCAGCCGAAACATCATTAATAGCAGCACCACCAGCAACAGCACCAGCACCCGCACCCGCACCGGCACCAGATGATAAGGCAAGCAGCGGTGAGAGGCGTGAGGAAGCGAGGTGCAGAGGAGCAGAGGAGGCAGGGGCGGGGAGCGAGCAGGGCGGTGACATGGGGCGAGGGGATGAGGGGCTGGGAAGCGCGCGACCAGGGTCACCTGGGGATGGCAGCCATGGCATGGCACAGGGGCAGAGGCGAGGAGGGAGCGAGGCAAGGGGCAGTGGCGAGTGCGAGGGAGGGAAAGCTCGAGGGTGGTTGGCACAAATGCTGCAGGGAGGGGAGAATGAGGGTGGGCATGAGGGGGAGAAGGTGATATGGGGGGAGCAAACGTCAGGAGAGCAGGTATCAGGTGCGAAGGCATGTGAGGAAATGCTGCAGCGAGGCAGTGAGAGATGGGAGGAGGGCAGGCAGGAGATGAGGCAGGGGAGCAGCGCCAGTGGTGGTGGTGGGGGATGGGGAGCAGATGGGGTAATGAGCACTCCGCCTCCTCACAACCACATGCCGTGCTCACCTGACGGCCCTGTGCCGTGCCCACCTGGGAATCCCATGGCATGCCCTGCTCACGACCCTGTGCCAAGCGCAGAAGTGACAGTACCGTGCACTGACAAGGCCTCAACACTGCCCATGGCACCTGAGAGCCGACCTGAGAGCCGCCGTGAGAGCTGCCCTGAGCATTTCTCTGAGCGTCGCTCTGAAGATGGCTCTGCTGTGCCTCGGGAACAGCAGGCTGAACGTGGCAGCAATACCCCTGGCTGCCCCCAACTGGGACTGGTTGCAGAGGCAGAGAGACCAGGCAGTGACCCGTCTCCCTTTCATGCTGCCACTGCTCATGCGAATCATGCAGGTGCTGCTGCTGATGCAGACCCGCCCGCGCCGTACCCCACCAGCACTCCACCGCCCCGTCAGCAGGAGGGTCCACGTCAGCAACAGCCTAGTTGCGACGCATCAGCACAAGCAGATCCAGGCAATGCCACGGTCACAACAGAGGAAGCAAGGGATGAAGAGGTTGCTGCTGTTCCATACCATGTGCTTGCCGCTCGTGTGTTTGCGGAGTTGCGGGGCTTGTTGCTCGATACCCACGTGGCTCATGAGGACTTGGAAGCAGTTGTGAATGAGGCGGTGATGACGTGGCATCCTGACGTGCAGGCAATGGCGCAAGAGAACGCGTGGGATGCGGCGAAGGGGACAGTTGCAAGGGTGGAAGGGAAGATTGGCACTTCAATTTTGGCTTTGCGGAAGAAGCTAAAGGTGTCCATTGAGGATTTGGATAAAAGGCTTGAAAAAGAGGAGGAAGAAGAAAGAAACGGCTAGGGAATTCGAGGTGGAATGTTTTATGATTATTGGAAGTAGGTAAGCAAGTTCTGTACCTAACCCAACCATCTATTTTCGCAACTTAAGACTTCACCACTGTCTCGGATCACTGCCTTGCGAGTTCTTCCTTCACATATTTTTTTTCGTCTTCACTCTTCAAGTGATTCGTGCTCCCGCATCGTCAATTCTGCTCGATTCCGCTCGTCAGTATCATCCGCATTCGTACACTGCCACTAAATATTAGTCTCTCGCGTAGTCTATCAAGGCTCTTAAAGCCGTGTTGATCGCCATGGAGGAGGAGGCGATAGAGCGAGCCGTGCTGGCGTACCTGCGTCGCAAGGGCTACAAGAATGCTGAGCTGGCGTTTAAAGACGACTCTAAGACGCAATCGCTCGATGCGCTCGTTACGGTTGGCGGGAAGGCGGCAGCTGCTGAGCTGGACAAGAATTTAGCCAATCAGATAATGCTCTACAGCAGGTGGGAAGCCACAGCGGACCCTAACCCTAACCGCGACATTTTTCGAACCGTTGTTTTCGTTAATGTCGATAACTGTGTAGTGTCGCCCATACAGTATCTCCAATGTCATGGATTTGTCTGGTTGCAGAAGCGCCACGTGTCTCTCTCGGGATTGTCTCTTCCAGGTCTGAGAAAGCGCCAGCATGCTATGTGGATGGCTACCGGAAGCTTCGTGCGTGGGTGCATTCCTCCCTAGACCTCTACAAGGTAATTCCCGACAGACCCCTCGCCTCGCGTCGCATCGCGTCGCGTCGCCGTGTCGCATCCACTCCTCCGGGAAATACTTCTTTCAATCCCCCTCCCATTCCCTCATTCGCCCCTCCTCATCTGAGGCTTCCCTAATATCTCTCCCCCGCCCTCTCCCGTCCTTCCAGAACGAGTTGCTGCGCGTGCTGTACCCGGTCTTTGTGCACGCCCCTTTAGCGCTCCCCAATATCATTCACTCTATCCTTTCCCCCCCACGATCCCATTCCCCCCAGAACGAGCTACTGCGAGTGCTGTATCCGGTGTTCGTGCACGCCCCTTTGGGGCTCCCTAATATCCTTCCACTCCATCTTCCCCCCCTCCCCCTCCTCCCGCGCGTCAGAACGAGCTACTGCGAGTGCTCTATCCGGTGTTCGTGCACGCCTTCCTCGAGCTCGTCGCGCAGGACCACCCCGACGCGGCGCGCGCGCTCATGGAGGCGCACGGCGCGGACCACGCGCGCCTGCACGCCAGTGACCTCGCGCAGCTCGCGGGCATCACCGCCGCGCAGCACGCGCAGGAGAGCCCCCTCGCGCGCGCCTTCCGCGAGAACAAAGCCGTCATCCGCATGTGCCAGGTAGGCCCCCCCTGGCCAAGCGCATGTGTCGTGTCTGCTCTCTCCTCGTTCCGTGGTTATCCAGCTCACTTGCTCCACCTTGCTGTGCTCCACCTTGCTGTGCTCGCACCTCTCTCTTCACACGCCCTCCCATACCGCATGCCATGCTCCTGCGACCCCACCCCACCCCACCCCACCCCACCCCACGCCACCCCACCCCACCCCACGCCACGGCACGCCATGACATGACACGACACGACACGGAGGGCAGTACTCATTCGACCTGCTGTTGCAGTTCCTGCACGCAGCGGACCTCATGGCCATCCTCGCGCTTGTCAACTGCCACATCCACATCATTGGTGGGTCGCTGTGTCGCACGCACTCGCATCAACACCAATTCTCTCTAGCTTGCATCCATGGGCGCTCGCTTCTTCCCAGTGCAGCTCCGCACCATTGATGTTCCACGCGCGCAATCGCTGCACCCAAGCACGCAATTGCTGCACCCAAGCACGCAATTGCTGCACCCAAGCTCGCAATTGCTGCACCCAAGCACGCAATTGCTGCACCCAAGCACGCAATTGCTGCACCCAAGCACGCAATTGCTGCACCCAAGCACGCACCACCCCCTTCCCAACCATTCTCCCTCTCCAGCTCCCGTGCCCTTTTCCTCCTCCTCCTCCTCCTCCTCCTCCTCCTCCTCCTCCTCTTCACACCCCCCCACTCCCTTCAAACTCTCCCTCTCCAGCTCCTGTGCCCTTTTCCTCCTCCTCCTCTTCTTCTTCACCCCCTTCCCTCTCTTCAAACTCTCCCTCTCTCCGCCCCCATCCGCCCGCGCCCCCGCCACAGTGCATGCGGGGCGGCCAGCAGCGCAGGAGGAGGAGGAGGACGAGGCGACGGGCATGGTATCAAGCGCAGGAGCGGACGGAGGGGGCGCGGGGGGCGGCATGCTGGCGGGGGTGGTGACAGGGGCGACACACGAGGCGATGAAGCGCATGGGGCAGCGCGAGGTGCTGTGGGGCGCGCTGGAGGATGGTGTGGAGCACCGGTTGGAGCAGGAGAGGGAGCGGGAGGGTGAGAAGGAGGAGGGCGACGAGGGCGAAGGGGACGACGGCAAGGTGAGATGCGTGTGGGTGGTGTTAGCAACGGTTGGCCCAGCTTGAAACGCTCCTTGTGATTCCATCCCTCCATTTCTGACCGCACGATCTCTCCTCCGCGACCTCCTTGCCCGCTGCCTCCTTTCCCTCTGCCTCCTTGCCCTCTGCCTCCTTGCCCTCTGCCTCCTTGCCCTCTGCCTCCCTGCGTGCTGCCCCTCTTCCCTCAGAAGCGGGCAGTAGATGGCAAGGCAGCAGCAGGGGCGCCGGGCAAGAAGGGCAAGAAGGACAAGGCGGGGGAGAAGGACGCGCTCAAAGGGGGCGCGGGGGGTGGAGCAGGAGGGGCAGCGGGGGCAGGGGGGGGTGCTGGAGGAAAGGGGGGGAAGGCGGGCGAGGGCAAGGGGGGCGGCGGGGCTGCTGCAATGACTGGCACACGCGTGGCGTCGCACCTGCCTCTCCCTAAAATGTGCGCTCTCCCTCCCTCTGCTCTGCCCCCCGCTGATCTCCCTTCTGCTGCTCTGCCTGCTGTCATCTATCCTTGCCTGGCCACGTCCCGCTGCTGCCTTCCTGTGGTTCAAGCTGATTCATGGCACAGCAGTTTCTTCAAACATTGCTACCCCTTTCGTTCATCTTCCTTCTTTTCCTGCCTCTCGCCTCCCTGCCTCTGGCCTTTCTGCCTCCTCCTGCCTCTCTGCCTCTTGACTCTCTGCCACTCGACCTGCCTCCGCTCTGCTGCTGCCTGTGACCATGCAAGGCAGGAGGGAGGAGGCGGAGAAGCAGGTGTTTGACGACTTGAGGCGGCGAGTGGCACTGGGAGCGCAGGCGCTGCCGTCTGTGTGCTGCTACACGCTGCTGCATGCACACTCCAGGTGCGCTCTGCTCTGCTCTGCTCTACTCTGCTGTGCTGGCCTGTTATGCGCTGCTGCTGCTGCTGCTGCTGCTGCTGCTGCTGCTGCTGCTGCTGCTGCTACTGCTGCTGCGAGTGCATTCTGGGAACCACCGAGTTCCGCTGCCGCACTGCCTCTGCACTGCACAGCTGCCACCTGTGTACTTCTGAGGCGCCTTAAAAGTAGGCTGCCACCTGTCTTCCGTTGCTTCTCTCACTCCTCCCTCTCTCCTCGCATCCCACACACCCTCCAATTCGTCCTGCATGCGCCCCCTCTATCTCTCCTCCCCGCACCAGCATGACTTCAGTGTCCGTTGCTCCTGACGGTGCGTTGCTGGCTGCAGGCTTCAATGACTCGTCAGTCAAGGTGACAGCCGTGCATCCACATTCATCTACTCAAACGCCAAGTTTAACCAATACGCGCACAGCAGATTCAATCCAGTTGTGCGTAGTAGTGACACTGATCTATGATGGCCAGGCATGGCAGCATGTATGTTAGCGTCGTCTGCTGCGCGTCCCCACTATGACACACTCTCTCACCACTCTCTTCTCCCCGCCTCCTCTTCCCTTCTCTTCCTCGCTCTCCCCCTCTCGTCCCTTCATTTCCCCTCCGTCGCTCCTCCCCCACCACACAGGTGTGGGACATGCGATCCATTGGCTCCTCCCCCTTGCCACAAGGTATGCCTTTCCACTGCCTCTTCTCGACTCTCGTTCCACATTTCACATTTTCCATCTGCCATGTCTCTGTCCTCTCGCGTCCCCTTCGCCATTCCTCACCTCTCACATCACCTCTCACATCACCTCTGCATCTTCCTCTGCATCGTCAACCCTCATGTATCGCACTCCCCCCTTTTCTCCCCTTTCTCTCTCTCCCCTCTCTTCACCCTCCTCCCCCAGACGCCCTATCGCTCGACACCTCAGCAGCAGCCGAAGCCCCAGCCATACAAAATACCCCACGTGGACACCCCACAACCACCACCACCACCTCCACCCCCACCACCCCCAGCACCACCAGCAAACGTTACATAGCCCTGAGGGGCCACAGCGGCGCCGTGCACGCTACCTCCTTCAGCCCCTCAGACGACCGCTTCCTGCTCTCCGCCTCTTCTGACGCCTCGGTGCGCCTGTGGCACCTGGGGCTGGGGGCGTGCCTGGTGGCGTACCGCGCGCACTGCTACCCCGTGTGGGACGTGCAGCACTCGCCTGTGGGGCACTACTTTGCCACGGCGTCGTATGACCGCACGGCGCGCGTGTGGAGCATGGAGCGATCCTACCCGCTGCGCATCATGGCGGGCCACCTCTCCGACGTGCATGTCAGTCCCTTCCTTTCTAAGGTTGTTTTTCTCTTGTGGTTTGGTGGAAGATTTAATCTGTCATCCTTGTGCTGAAAGCTTCCTCCCCTGGGACCGCACGGCACGCGTGTGGAGCATGGAGCGCTCGTACCCGCTGCGCATCATGGCCGGTTATCTCTCCGCTTTTGAGTCGACTCAATGGCCGGTCATCTCTCCGACATGCATATCAGTGGCTCCCTCTTTCGCACATCCCTGATGCGCGCTGCCACGCCACCTGCAAATACGTTCTCACCGGGTTCACTGACAACCCAAGCCCTCCACCCAGCCTCTCTTCCTCACACCTCTCTCTTCCTCTCTTCCCACCCCCTCCCCCGCTCTTCGCAGGCGGTGCGGTGGCACGCCAACTGCAACTACATCGCCACGTGCTCCAGCGACAAAACGCTGCGCCTGTGGGACGTGCAGACCGGCGAGTGCTGCCGAGTCTTTGCCGCCCACCGCTCGCCCGTGTACGCACTCGCCACGTCCCCGGACGGCCGCTTTCTAGCCTCGGGGGATGAGGGAGGTGCCGTGCTGCTGTGGGACCTGGGCACAGGCCGCTGCATCGCCCCCCTGCTGGGCCACACCGGCTGTGTGTGGACGCTCGCTTTCAGGTGGGTGTGATGTGGTGCAGTGCGGTGCGTGCTGTATTCTCCCCTCTCTGTGCGCCCTAGCATAATCTTCCTGGCGTCGGGCGATGAGACCGGCACTGTGCTGCTGTGGGACCTGGGCATGGGACGATGCATTGCACCTCTTCTGGGCCACACTGGCTGTGTGTGGACGCTCGCCTTCAGGTGGGTGCAGTGTGGTTCAGTGCTCCCATGCTGTATGTACTGTAGCAATGTCGTTTCCGCTTCAAACCAGCACCAGCTACCTGTTCGTTATTATCACCAACTCAACCTCCACCCTGCCTCCCATGCTGCCTGTGGGGCAAGCAGTGGCGAGTCAGCAGTGCTGGCATCGGGGGCAGCGGACGACACAGTGAGGCTGCTGCTTCAATCTCCACCCCACCTCCCTCCCATGCATCCCCCCCACCTCCCTCCCATGCATCTCTCCCCTCTCGTGCACCCTCCTGGCCTTGCGGAGCAGTGGCGAGTCAGCAGTGCTGGCATCGGGGGCAGCGGACGACACAGTGAGGCTGTGGGATGTTGCTGCTGCCAGCAAGCTCGCTCCCAACGAGGCCAAGTGAGTGGCAATTGTTCAGCTGCCATGTGAGTGGCAATTGTTCAGCTGCCATGTGAGTGGCAATTGTTCAGCTGCCATGTGAGTGGCAATTGTTCAGCTGCCATGTGAGTGGCAATTGTTCAGCTGCCATGTGAGTGGCAATTGTTCAGCTGCCATGTGAGTGGCAGGGATGGGATGTCAGTGGGGGGGTGGGGCCATGCCATGCGACCATGAGTTTTCAGCTGCATGTGAGTGCCAATTCTTCAGGAAGCCAAACTGGTCTAATTTGAGTCTGTTTTTGCGTCGACACAGGAGCGAGTACAGATGCTCTACTTGTCTCCATCACTGCCTACCCGACCCTGTCTGCCATTGTCCCTCCTGTACTCCCCCTCTGAGGGCCTCCACATTTGTTCAACCGCTCTGTCTTGCCTTTCCCCTTCCTCCGGGGGCTTCCTCTCCTGTGTGTCGCCTTCCTCCCTTCCCCCCGCGCCTGTCCATGCATGGGCATCAGAACATCGGTGGGGCGGAGGTTGCGCCTTCTCAAGACCTTCCCCACCAAGTCAACACCCATCTCCGCCCTGCAGGTAGTATCCATCCCCCACTCACTGCCCGTATCCGCTCTGCGGGCGTCCATCCCGCACTCATGGCCCATGGCTCCTTGAGCCACCTCAAACTGGGGTTTGCCTCTGTCTGCCTTTTGAGTCGACTCAAAAGTCAAACTGGGGTTTGCCTCTGTCTGCCTCCAGTCATTTGCACAACACCTGTGTCATGCCCGTGTTTACAAGTGTCTAGTCCCCCTTAGCAACTCCCCTGGCAATCCCCCAAGGCCCCCTCACAACCCCCCTTACATTTGCCTAGTGCATCCGTCCAACTCGCCCTGCAATTCCCCATCTGCTCCCCCTCGACTTCTTCCTCCCCTTCCTCGCTTCCTCCACACCCCTCTCGGCAGTTCACGCGGCGCAACCTGCTTGTGGCAGCTGGGGCTTTCAAACACTCTGACCCCACACCTTGATGCTGCATGTCACACGTCACCGCTTTCGTGCCACATGTCATGCCAGCTTGGGTGCCCAGGGCAAGGTATTGCATGCAAATTTTGCACGCTTAGAAGCTGAATGCATCATCAGCATTTGTAACACTACACACCACAGTTGCATTCAATAGCTAGCATTGTCACTAGAGTTACAGTAAGAGCGTGTTCCTACATTCAATGGCTAGCATTGTCACTCATATCAGGAGACCTCGTATCAAGAATGCTGTTTTTGCCTGGTAAAACTAGCGAGAGGTTTCGGGTTTAGGGGAATTTTCAGTGTGAGCCTGATGCGAGGTTATCTTGATACGAGGATAGGAACACGCTCTAATGGCTGCTGTGATTCACAAAAATTTGATGGACTAGTGCAACTACCAGCAAGCACAGAATGGTCACAAGGAGACTCAAATCACAAGGAGATCCTACAATTACGGTAGCGAGATCACGAGAGCTAATAGTGGGTATCTGGTATTCAACAGTATAGACAGCACACACACTGACGCCATTATTGACACGCATACGTGCTGCCTTAGCTAAGCACGAATGTACACCATGACTCCTAACGGGCCAGGAAGAAAAAAAGAACGAAAAAAAAAATATACGATACGGACTTCTCAGCTGGCCCACGGGTTCGACATCGCCACTCCCCGGTGCGAGCCTGCTACTGCATGCGGCTGGGCGCCGCCAATCCCGCCGCCTTGCGCCACCATGGCTGCGCGCGCCTGCATCAACCCCGCGGGGTGCATCGCCTGCTCCACTCCTCCCCACGCCTCCACTCCCCCCCATCCGCCCCCCCCATCCACATCCATCGAGCAGTCGTTAATAGCTCCTCCCCGCCGCGCGCCTCCCGCCTGCGTCCTCTGAAGCCCCGCGGCAATATCCCCAGAGACCGTCCCCGCCTGCCAAGGGTTCGTGACAAAAACGTTCCGCGGTTGGCGCGTTGTTTGCGCAGCGGCTGTCCCCCGGCGCTCCGCGCGGGTGCTGCAGACCTCATCCTCGCTGTCGGATCCCGCGCCCCCCGCGCCGTTCGCGGCGTGCAGCGCTTGGCTGCGCGCATCCACGCTACTCGCGTCGTTGACCGCGTTAAAAGCAGCAGCAGACCGGTCGGATTTGCGCGCCGAGCGGATGCAGTCAAGCGACCGGCGGCGGCGGGAAGGGTCGTTGTGCGGCGCGTAGAGACACGCCCAGTCCGTCGGCCCCAACGCCGCGCTTGCCGCCGCCGCTGACGCTGGTGCTGGAGACGGCGCTGTTGTTTGGTTACGTACAGCCGAAGCAGAATGGTCGAAACCCGCTTCGGGCTGTGGTTGCATGACAGGCTCTCCGCTCGGTCGTCCAAACACATCCCGACCGTTGAAGGCGCTGTTACGGTGCATTGGACGCTCAAGATCGTCGATTTGGAGGGACATGCGGCGCGTGGAGGGGATGGGGGACTCGACCGCGGTGGACATGGGGGAGCGGGAGGGGCACTGGGAGTGCGCGGACGGCGGAGTGGCGGAGACCTCCATTGCGACCATGGCGGAGTGCAGCTCCAGGCGCTGGCGGTGAGATCCGCCGTTCAGCATGCGCTGGAACATTCTCGGAAGCTCTCCTTAGTCCACCGGCTTCGATTTGTCGAAAATGACCCTCCGATAGATAGGCTGACTAAAACGACAAGTCGAAGTCTGTTAACAACTAAGAACCGCAAGGAATTTGCGCGAGTGTTCTGCTGAGGGATAAGGATAAACGATACCGCCAATTGCGTCCCTCTAACCCCAAGCGAAGCTTGACGGAATGCCCTAAGAAACAGGAGCGTCGAAACAAAAACCTTGCTCAGAAAACTGGGGCTTGAAGGAGATGAGTTGCCAGGAGGAAAGATGAGGATGGAAGTGAAGGCAGAATGGGGAGGGGAGGGGAAGCGCGCGCGCAGTGTCAGATAGTCCGCGCGTGTAACCCAATAGAGCTGAGTTGTGGCGGATCCCCCGCCCACACAGCACTGCGATGTACGCCGCTTCCTTCATTGGTTCCCCTTTTGCCCCCGTGACTATCCAACAGTCCTCCCTTCTCTCCCCTCCGCAACCACTTCCCAAAAAAACTGCTTCCAGTCTTGTCGGGACTCGGTTTTCCTCGGCTGTGCTGTCCGCCTTCCCCCAAGCATCGCCTAGCAGTTGGTGCGCCACAGTCACTGCTGCGCCCTGCCAAGTGCGGTGGTGAACTCGATCGCAGTCACAATTTGTGGGGTAGAGCCAGCTAGCGCAGGGGGACTTGGGTGGCAGTACAGGTCAGGTTGGGCAGGTGAAAAAATTGACCTTGAGGGGATGAGAAAGGTGAAGGTAACCATTTCTTTACACGGCCTCGCTGCGTAATGAGGTAGTCATATCCACTCCCAAGTTGAGCACATGCGAAGCCCCCTTCTGGGGGGCTGGCGATGGGCTGGGATAGGAGAAAACTCATCCAGGACGTTACAGTTCGTACTGTTACGATATTTGAAATCCCCGACAAGGGAGGCCCCCCACTGACAGTCTGTCCAGGTCTGCGCCACAAAAATGGGCCTCGATCACACTGTACCCACAGTTCCGAAAGATCTTTTCCTGCCCTCTCCACGGGTGGTAGATCGCAGAAAAATAAGTTCCAGCAATTTCTGCTCCGTATCTAAGTTCTTGTGGCCCTCAATGACCGAAATGGGCATTGGAGGTTTGCGTACCCCCGCATGTGTGTTGCATTGCAGCATGTCGCCATCCAGCTTTGTAGCATGAAAATATTTGAAAGGGGCGAAACAAGGAACACATCACTGTGACATGCCCCACTTGGTTCAACTACGGGCAGCTTGGGATGGGAAACAGGCCTGTCGAAGTCCCTGGGACCAACACTTTGAGTTATGAGCTGTTCGAAGTTTGGCCCTGATTTTCGCAAAGGTGACCGTTTTTAGCCCTTAACGATCACGGGCGTAGGTCAAATTCAAAACTTGACATCCGGACTTCCTACAAAAATGTACGTGAGCCGTAATGGCACAAAACTTGACATCCGGGCTTCAACCTATTACTTAGCAGCGAGAAGGAGTGGCTAACGACTCATCTGCATACCTACAGCGAGGGGGGAAGTGGGGTGGGGGGGGGGGGGGGGGGAGGAGAGGGGTCGTAGGGCAAAACATCGTCAGCAAAGAAGTCGCTTAAACTCGTGTGTACAATCGCAAAGCACTTCCGAGGTGGTCGTTTTTCATGTAGTACTACTAGTGTGAACTGATGGGGCAATTTCCTCTTAGCCTCGTAGGGTGTCAGTGTCGCGAGTCCAGTGTGAGTACTTGGAACTGTGAGGAGACGAATTGACTTGAAAATATTTTGCAGCTACAGCCATAACATCAACACAAGAAAGTCCTTTCGTGCCTAAGAAGATAGCTTGTGGGAGATACAGGGAGGATGAGAGTGGGAGGATAAGAGTGGCAACTTGGGCAACTCGCAGGGCTACTCTACTCCTGATCCGGGAAATCAGGGAAAGGCCCCGAACCAGCCCTTAACGGATCCGGGTTAGGACCCCTATTTCTCAAAACCAGCCCGTAAGAAAAACGGGCTTCCCTCGAAACCAACCCTTTGAAATGCCGAAGCTGGCTGTGAGTTCGCCCGGAATGTTCATGGCATTAAGGGAAAATGCCCTTGAATCGACAGCCCTGATGGGAAACATAATCAAATGGTCTTGCCCAATCACGGCTTTGCAGCAAGTCCGACTGTCATTGTGTGGTGGTATGGTGTGGGTGGGATGGAATCTCCCGCTGCTGCTGCTACTGCTGTAAAAGTCGTTTGTGAAAATCTGGAACGAGGCTCCAATAGAACGTCGAAAAATGGACTGGTTTCTCAAAACTCCATTGGCCGAGTATCCATCCAGCTGTCGGTCATCGAATCCTGCGGCGTTATTACATTCAGCTCGGTGTTTTTCTGCCATGCCATTCGCAATCGCAAGCCCCGTTTCTCCTCACTTGTGTGTCCATGTATGACTTCACTACAAACTGCACTTGACTGATCTTACTGAGTATATTCAGTTGTTGCAAAAAGTTGTCAGCCAGATAAAATGTATTAATGATTTATATTAAGGCTTTAACTATTAAATGTAGTACCGCTCTCATGGTCTTCCTCTTGAAAGAATGTTCAATTCCAGCAGCTGATGTACTTATGTTGCCCTTATGAACAAGCCTACAGTCGGGAACAATTCTAAAACTTATTTTGTTGCAACTTTGATGGGCGCGGTTACCGTTTTGCAATCCTCGCTATGCACTCGCATAACTCCCTCCGTTTTCCGGTCACGGAATCCCGTTTCCTGCCAGCTATTGAGCACCACCATTTCTTACGCTGCTCTGACACGCCGCCTGCTGCCTGCATCCGAATTCCATGGCGGCTGCGGCTCCGCATGCTGCGGAGCGAGCTACGGCATCTCGAGCGGCCGAGTGGCCCGAGTTATCCGCTGTTGAAGGGCTCAAAAGCAATCTGCGTCTTCTTTCCACTGACCAGGTACCGTCCGCCCAGGTACTGTCCGCCCAGGTACTGTCCGCCCAGGTATCGTCCGCCCAGGTACTGTCCGCCCAGGTACCGTCCGCCCAGGTACCGGCGTCCGCCCAGCACTCAGGCACCGATTTGCATAATTTTACATTACTTGGCGGGTACAAGTCCGTAGAGTCTCCTTTCCTGCCCTTCGCCCCGCCGTCATCATCGTCGCATTATCCCTGCTGTGCCTGCTTGCTCCGCTTCTCCGCCCCCCTCTCCCGTCGCTCTTCAGATCGACCTGGCCGGCAAGCTTGTCTCATGCGGTCAAGCGCATCTCTTCTCCCATTGGCCGGAGATTGGAAGCAATGATGACGACAAGCGGCGCTTCTTCGAGCAGGTGAGGGAAGGCAGGTGAGGGAAGGCAGGTGAGGGAAGGCAGGAGGGCGACACGGGCGTCCCTCAAGCACCAGGCCCATTTGTCTCCACGCTGCGAGTCTTGTCCGCATCATGCCATTGCCTCCCCCACCACTCTACCCC